CCTCACGGTAAGCGCTTCTAGATCACACTACATTGCCGATAGTCGGCGCCCGAAAGTCCAAGTGCCGAAAGTCCCGAAGTGAGCACCCAAAGCCAAAGATAGCCGATTTATTTTGGAACTACCAACGGCGCACAGCCAGCATAAGCATAGTCATAGCGCAATGGCGACGTCTACGTATAGATATTCGGACAATTATTTTCGGTCTGGGGGATGCGAGATGCATGCACACGCGGCGATTAGTTTCGCCGTGGCAAACATGGCGGACAGTCGGGAAAATCGCGTGACTCGGCAAAGGGACTAATGTAACCTTGAAATGAAAATCCGTGAACGTCATCGGGCATGCGATACGCGCATTAGACACTAGCTTTGAACTTTTTAGCGAAAAACGTGAAAGTATTTAGATTTAAACATGTTTTTTATTAACATAGATTTTAAACTTCACTTTTTCATTTTATTTCTTTGAAAATCTTTAAAATTTGAGGTTATGAACGTTTTTTAAAGATAATTTTAATTCTTCCTGCTGAGTGTTTTGTTTTTATCGTTGCTCGGTTGTATCAGTCGCTTCCCGATGTTCCAATTAATTTTTTGTCTGCCGCATTGGCTTCTGGTGCTTGTCGCGCATGTGTCTGGATGTTTATGTATCTATCCGAAGCGGAAGTGGTAACTTTTGTTGGGCAAATGGGACACACACTTTATATACACATATATACACATATAATTGATATTAAAAAAAAAACTAAAAGTTTTGAACGAATTGCAATCACAATCACAATCACAAAATCACAAGGTGTTACTGGTTATGACCAGTCATTGCGTCATTAATATATCGTTAAATATTTTGGACTTTTCCAAGTAAATGTAAATTATACAGAGTGATTTAGTTTTTATTTTGTATTTTTTACGACGGAAGTTACTTAAATTTTGATTTTAAGTAAATGCCTTAAGTTAAGTCAAGTAAAAAGTATTTCGAGGGGACTAAGAGTGATTACTCGATGTCGATGGTCTTGGCGACGAGATGCCGCATCTTCTCTCGCGGCGACAGACGAACAGGAGGAATCGCGCCGGATTTCCGCTATGTCTTCCCGGCGCGTGTGCGTACATCTGTTGCGCGCGCCAAACGGGGAATCACCCTTCGCCAGGCGCACCCCAAATTGTGTCACAGACAGACTGGTAGATACTTAGATAAGTAGTAAATCATCTGATTCATTCGAAAAATCATATGGTTTGTATTGTGTCTCAGAAAAATGATTTTTTAAAAAATTTTTGTTTGGATTTGTAAAAATTTTGTTACGATTCGTACGCAGCTACTTCTACGCCTCGGAAAGTGCGCGCACCGCAATCCGAGACGCGGGGCAAAACACCGCCGCTTTTTGGCCGCGTGCCAAACGCCAAGCGACCCGCCGCCGCGCCGTTCGCCGAGCAAACATTTCCTTTATGTTTGCCTACTACGACGCGATTCGCAAGATTTTACAACATTGTTTCCAGAAAATTTACGTTTATATCTTTAAAAGTCATTTATTGCTAATTTTTAGGTTAGTCTAATTTGAAGGTTATGTAATGTAAATATTAGGTTATGTTATAAAACGTCCCTGAACCATTGGACGATTTCGAGGCTGGTCGAACAAAAGGTTAATCGAAAATCGATGGACAATCAACGAAATGTGCGCAAATTGCCGGATCGAAACGAAACGAAACGAAAGGAAAAAAAATAAAAGAGTGTAACACACTCCTTTGAGGTTACATCTGGCGCTGGCGATGTTTTCACATGTGCGTGCAAGACGGACCTCCACTCGCGACAAAGACGAAGTGCGTCTTGCGGAACACCCACCCCACGCGTTTTCCGTGAAGCTTTCTTGGTTTCAATGGTTTCAGTGTGAAGCTCGTTTTGGAGCAATGTGATTGGTCGTGCGGCTGTGCGGCGGTGACGCAACGCGTTCGTATCGACCAATCGGTGGCGTCGTGTGCGCCGCCGTCGGTCGGCGTCGCGCTCGTCCTCGCCACCACCGCCAGAACGCGTCCAAACGCCCGTGTCGCCGTGTACGGGTGTCGAGCGACACTTTCCGACCAGCGAACACCAAAAGCTCTCGAGAAGCTTTCGTCTCGTTTCGGGTAGTCGTGCGCGAGTGGCTGCGTCGATCGGACGTCTTCTTCGCGGGTGCGCAAAACGTGTGCAAACAACGTGCAAACTAATCAACGTTTTAATACACGAAATTTAAATCGAGCTTTAAATACATTTAACTAAACATTGATAGAATACTGTGTGTGGTGGAAATTGCGATTTTCAAAAATTGAATTTAAATCGATGTTCGGTGTCAGGATGTCAGGAAATCTAGGTGAGTCCGCTTGTACGCGCCGCGAACGGGTCGATCTCGTTCGCCCTCTCGTCCATTCTCATTGAAATCGAGACCTTGCAGAGACCTTGGATTCTAACGATTGAATCTTATTGTTTAAAATTATTCAAATCACAGCGGAGCTATCGATAGTTCACATCAAATCAACATATTCATTTTAAAAATGTTTAAAATGTAAAAATTTGATGTTTAGTTGTGGATTTTTGTGTAACACGTGGTGCACGTGGCACCCACGAACGACGTGCAAATTCTAGTATTTATATTTACATAATTCTATTGTAAATACACACGGTAGTATGGTAGTACACACGGCGCGTGCTATTAATGCGCGATTAGTTGCGTTGTCGTCGGCATTGTGGTGCGGCGCTCGCGGCATTTTATTTATAATTCTGTGTGTTTTGTTTTGTTACTATATTTAGCGTATCGATCAATTAAAAATAGCGATATGAGGTAATTTTACGCTCTAGACATGTCGGGGTTTCGCGCGAAAGTCGCGACTTCCGACTATTCTCGGCACACCTGGTATAAATAGTTTAAACTCACTTTCACAGTCATCCACAAAATGCATCATAACAAATGATAAACAGTAGAAAATCGGATTATACTTGATTTTTTGATGAATTATTTAAAATTTCGTTGTTTTTTTAAGTTTTTAAATCGGAAAACTTGTCATATTCGATATTTTTATGATTTAAGTTTGATACAAGTATTTTCTGGGTTTAAGAACCTCAAAAAGTTCGACAACTCATAAAAGTTTGTTGATTAAAAGTAAATAAATGCTTTGCATGTCAATTTTATTGACATAATCACAACTTTTATGGATGTAAATATCAAACTGTACCCCCATTCAAAGATAATTAATATTTTTTGTTAATTGCAGTAATAATTCACTAATTGCAGTCAAAAATCACGAAAAAATGCAAGAAGCAATGATTAATTAAATTATTTCTCACTGAAAATTAGCTTATTCTTAACAAATTCATGTTATTGACACATTTATATTTTTTTAATCCAAACTTACTTAGTATTCAGCAATTAGCATTTTGTAAGTCAAATTTTACTAATTTTTTTGCTCAAATGTGAAGTGATTTAATAGTTTTCATCTTCTATCCCTCACCCACTTCAATTCTTGTCTTTGTGCGTGATACTTTTGAAGATTTGTGATTCTGTGTTTGTCTTTTGGGTTCACAACATCTTTGCTTCTTTTTGTCTGCCCCCTCGACGTGCGTTCAGTGTGCGTGCAATGTGCGCGACACATGTGCGTACGATGGATGGTCATGCCTCCTGCCTAGTTGTCACTCTCTTTCGGTATCATCGTCTGCAAGATTTTACATCTTCGTAATTTTAACTAAAGAATATTTTAGAAAAAAAAAAGTTTTTTATTGATTGGTTCTTATGAGGAAATATAGCGCAAATGATCCTCATTCAATAATGAACACCACTCCACCGCTGGAGTTGTCAACCGGACATGGCGAACGCGACTCCTCACATCAATAATAAATCGGGTTAGCGCGCTTTCAGGAGATGAGGAAGGAAGGCGGAGAGCAGGTACCCATCTACCCGTCTGTCATCCGCGTGGGTACTACCTGGGCTATGCAACCCGCATCACGCACCCGGCACCTACGCGCGGCTACCGGTTGCGGTGACGACCACCATCTCCTCCCGGCCGGCAGCGATCGGTAGCAACCGGTGTAACAAGAGCGCGGAGGCGGCGCGCGGCAGGTGCGAGAGGAGAGCGCGCGCCTCGCGCCCTTGCCGCGTAGCGTAGGAGGGCACACGCGCTGGCCTTGTTTCGCCCTCGACAACCGGCGGCCACCGATCGATGCGATGTGCCCCGTCCGCCCCTCTCGCCGCCCCCGGCCGCTGCTTGGTTCCTGAATCGGGTCACTGTGTTTGCGGGTGGCCCGCTTCCCCGTTTCGTGCCGTGTTCGCTTCGATTCGCTCAACGTGACAGCCGAACCGACGAGCGATCCTGCGAATTGCGAAACGTATCGGGATAATGGCCAACTAGCCGAGGTTTTTCTTTGCAACGTCAATTCGCTATTCTCTCTTTTTGTGGAGGCAATTTGTTGTGACCTAGGTCGTTTCCAGGAACATTTCGATGAGTTTACATGGAAAGCAAGATTATTAATCGCGCATTTCGAGAAATTTGCGTATTATTATACCAACATATTTGTGGAATAATATTTGATTTAAATTTTATCTAATAACTATCACAGTTGTCAATACAAATGGTAGATTTTTACGCTCGGCGTTTTAAAGTTGAAATCTTGCCAAATACGTAATGAAACCTCGATCGTATCACGCGTTTCGTGTTTCGAATTTCCTAAGCTTCAGCGACTCGCGCAGCTCGTCGTTTTCCTCTCCTGCTGAGCGAGATTTTCCACGGCGCGAGCTTAAGCTGTTTGCGCTGCGTTCTAATTAATGGGCTGCGCGCCGCGACGCCTAAAAATAGCGGCGCGCACTTCTAGGACCCTAGACAGAGCAAGCGGAGGCACGCTCTTAATGACTGCCAGATTTTCAACTAACAGCAACACGCACGCAGATACCAACCAATCACTTCCTTGATAAATGATCGCGCCTGCGCTTACACTTAATTACTTTTAAAAATACTTAAATTTAATAAAAAAAAATTTTGATTCATTGCAGTGTGCGACTCAATGACATCGTGAATGGTAAACCAATAGAGTCAGAAAACCGTGCGATTTTCACTTCAATTCGAGCCACCAGCTGAACAGCCCCATCCTTCAAAATGGGTCGCAAAAAAATCCAGATATCACGGATCACGGACGAGCGGAATCGCCAGGTAAACATCCGCAAGCAATCTCAGAATAACGAGCAACGAGTTGCGTTGCCATGACTCTCTTCTAACTGCGTTTCCTGAACACAGGTCACATTCAATAAGCGGAAGTTCGGCGTGATGAAGAAGGCCTACGAGCTCTCCGTCCTCTGCGACTGCGAGATCGCCCTCATCATCTTCAGCTCCAGCAACAAGCTCTACCAGTACGCCAGTACTGATATGGATAAGGTGCTGCTCAAGTACACCGAGTACAACGAGCCGCACGAGTCGCTCACCAACAAGAACATCATCGAGGTACATCAAATCCAGCAGCAACTCTGGCGGGCTTTGCGCGAACTAAAACAAACGAAAGCAATGCGATACAATATACAACTAACGCCATCTTCAAGATGTTTTGTGTTTTCGTGTTTGCGATGTACATTAACACTTGATGCGAAATTTTAATTTTTTATTTTTAATTTTTAAACAAAACCAAACTGAATTTTGTTTGATTGGATTTCATGCATTTGCTTGTTCTGGTCGGCGAGCCGATAATCCCCCAGGTTGTTGCTTATAACTTAGACAACGTACATAGCCCCGCCCCCCTTAATGTTGCGCCGCCATCTTGTGTTGAGATGCGCGGCGCGCAGCGTGCATGTTTGTTTGTTTGCTGTGTGAGTGATTGTTGAACGTGTGTGCGAGCGCCCTCCGGCGAGTAGTCTTATCACCTTGAGCTGGTCCACTGACACTTGCAGGCACTTAATAAGAAGGAGCATAAGAACGGAGTGATGAGCCCGGACAGTCCCGAACCGGAAACAGAGTACCAACTGACGCCGCGCACAGAGGCCAAGTACACCAAGATCGACGAGGAGTTTCAGATGATGATTCAGAGGAATCAGATGAATGGTCAATCTAGAGTGAGTTTTTTCAAAAAAAAAACATTTCTTTATTTTTATTATTAATTTGTTGGGATTTTAGGGAAGTATGAGTGGAAATTACACGCAAGCAGTGACAGGTCCCGGAATCTACGGTGACGCAGTGTTGCTACAGTCTAGTCCCCAGATGGCGCACACCAGCATTAGTCCACGTCCTTCCTCTTCGGAAACAGATTCGGTCTACCCCAGCGGCGCAATGTTGGAGATGTCCAACGGTTATCCCAACTCTGCATCACCCATGGGTGGATCCCCATCACCTGGTCCCTCCCCAGGACCAGGAATGGGTGGTGGGGGTGGATCTGCAAAACACCTCAAGCAACACTCGCCCACGCCTAGATCCAATCTCCGTGTGGTCATACCCAACAACCTGGCAGACGACATACACTACGGCGAAGTAAGTTTTAATCCATCTGGGAATTCATCGATATAATTCGTAATGTAGTATGTCTCGCTGCAGAACACGAGCCTGTATCCACCGCTCGGAGGCTTCGCTCCGCAAGACTTCAGTACTGGTCTCGTTGGACAGGACATCACGCTCAATCAGATCACGTGGTCCGGCCATCAGATACCTCCCTCACTGGGGCATGGTCCAGGAGGCGGTGGGTTACCGCACCTTGCAGTCTCCAGCAGTACTCCTCCGCCTTCCTCTTCGTCACCTCACCCTGTTAAGATAAAGAGTGAACCGCTGTCACCACCACGAGGAGGTGGCGGTGGAGGTGGAGGGAGTGACCATCACCTGCATCACTCGCTCAACTCCACCCTCAATCTAGCGCCGCACGCCCATCAGCGACCCAGCTCCGCTGGTCAGCTGACGCCCACGCACACACATGGTAGTGTCACGCCGACCAACATGCCCTCACCGGGTGGCCCGCCTCCTAATTCGGACTACGATACTGGGCCGATGCTGAAACGGTCGCGTCTTAGCGAGTGGAACTCGTAGGCAAGGACCAGCTATGCCACTCCTTCGATTATAACCAATCGTTACTGAGGGAGGAGCGCTTGTTTGAGAAACACTGACACAGTGCCATAGTGATAGTTCGTTTGCTATTGCCAATTCTGTCATCCACCAAATTGTGATAAACTTCGAGTCCTCACAAAGCAGGAGATGGAGACGACGCGTGAACTTTGACAGTCAGTGAGTGCGCGTTTGCTGTTTTCCGAGTGTCGTGCATCCAACACAAGAGGAGATATGATATGCATGCGCGACACTTTATCTACACACATATTATCATAGTGCCATTATTTTCTTGTAAAACTCGGATCGTCGTAGTAATTACGTCTTTTTTAAAACATGGCGCCCGATGAGGATCATAACTAACCGCCCCCGCGCGGGACGCCGCAACCACACACACTTATTATGTATTTATATATTATTATTGTATATCACTTGTTAATTTAGTCGCGAATTCGAGAAATTCAAGAGTCACTAACAGAAATCTTTATCGAGTACAAGAGAGAGAAACATATAGAGGTATTTATAGAAAGATGGCGGATCTTTTTTAGAGTTATAACGCAAGTAAACACGATGACTACGTGAGAATAACTCCTGTCCATTGGCTGTTCGCACGTGCAACATAAAAACAAAACACTCACTCGTCGATGTTCTTAAATGTGCTGCTTCCCTTTCGCCGAAGAGAGAAATAGAGAGAGAAAGAAAGCTGAAAGTAAAAAAAAAGGAACCTAGCGTGTGTTCATTGTCGTACCACTCGTACCCTCTATCGCACGTAGCCATATTGGAAAAAACAAACACGAAACAATACGTATATCGACGACTGGAGGCGAATTAACCTAAAAAAAAAGTAACAAATGACGCGATATATTATACATAATTATATACATGCATATATATTTTATCTACTGTTGTGTGCACGTACCTTGCACATAGATTTTAAAGTTTATATGATGAAAAACGATGCAGTAACGAATGAGATTCGAAATTTCAAAATTTTGACAGCATAAAACCCGTTGGCGAACATAAGCGAGAGAAAGAGAGAGAGAGAGAGACCCTTTTCATCTCCACTATTTGAAAAGTTTAACAAAAAAAAAACATTACTGTAGGAATGCCTTACTCACAGTGCCTGACAATATTTGTGTACGTATATATCTTGTTCGTTATGTCTTAAACAGAAAACAAATGGACACACAATATAACACAACAGACTCTGTAATACACACACACGCGCCATTATAATCGATGTGTCTAAACAAAAATGTCACAAGTCACTTAAGTATGATGATACACACTCTTAACTCTAAGCCAATTGCGCATGTGCGTGATTGGTCGATGGGCGTGGTCTCGACGAGAAGCGCCACCGCCTCCGAACCGAACCGCTGCTTGTGCCTTCTCGCCTTTTACAACTTTTACCTGATTCGTTCGTACGCACGCGCGAGCTAGATCCAAACGACACTCACGCCCCCATCGACGTAAACGTAAAACAATGAATGTCATCCACCACACAATACACTACACACTGAGAAATTCACCTCCGCCGCAACCCAACACACACGTTTCTAGATGTCAAGTGCAAATTCAGTATTGTTACATGCGACACCCGGCATGCGGCAAGACGATGGTGTTAAGATGTTGAAAACAATGTTACATTAATTAACGAGCATGCGTAATGGTTTGTGTTCTGATTGGATTGCGCGATTTCGTATCGTCCGCGAATTAGGTTATAACTATATAGGTATATAACACATATATATCATTGACTCTTTGTACATAGTTTATCATTATATCCGAGGAAGTAAGTTTTTGTAACTCTTAAACAACGGACGTACCAAAATTTCTCTTTTCTAAATGTTATCTACGATTTTAAGTTTGCGAAACTGTGTGCTATATTAGGTTTTTAGGTTAGAAACTGACAGTTTTTACGTTTGCGTCATACGTTGATCCATCCGCTTGTTGTAAGAAAAATGTCGATACTGATTTTACACGGACCACCAAAAACCCACTTAACTCTGCAAACCTGTAAACTAATTATTGTATGAGATTATATAAAAAAAAACAATGTAAAACAAAGCGAACCTGGCTTCCAATTTGCACCACGAGAACAAGAAGAAAAAGACATATAGATCTGTTATAATCTGTCCAAGGAAACACAATTGAATTGTATATTCATGTTATATTAATATTTAAAGAGAAACACTGATTCGTGTGCGGTGAACAAGTGCAATATACGTGAAGTCATTATAGATGGCGCGCCGATCTCTTCTCTTCTGTACGAACATCTCGGGGGTGTTCGACTGGCCGAGCGCATGATTTCAGTTTGCGTTGTTTTTCTTTTTCTAATTTAGTTTGTTTTCAGTTTTTGTAAGATTTGTAACGTTTGAATGATGCTTGTACACCTTGTAGTTTCACACACACGAGTATGAGATGTGCGCATGCGCGAGGAGATGTCAGATGGTTTTGACACATACTTTTGTTCCGTACATTAATTCTCCTAATTTTCGATAATTTAATCAACGTGCAATATCTAATGGCGATGTGTCGACGAGATGATCATGATGATGAGATGTATTAAATTTTAGACCAAATAAATACTGTTTGTTACATTTATTTTATATTTTTTTATTTTTGTTTTGTTGATTTGTTTTGATTTCCTTTCTGTGCAGCGCCAATTTTATTCTGGGGGACAATTAACTGATACAAACTGCAAATATTGTAAAGTTGTAAACTTGTAAAGAATTTAAGAACAAAGAGAGATATTTTAAATTCTATATTCTATATATACCATGACGATGTCATGCCGAAAGACAAATGAAGAGATATGAGAGATATGTTTCAATTGCTAAATTTTATACATACATATTGTAAATTAAATGAAATGTTTATAATGTTATCTCAATGGCTGACAAGAGAAGTGTGATGTGATCGAGAATCAATGAGAATATTGAAGGAAAAAAGCAACAACAGCGTACTATGTCCAATAAATATTTGTTTCCACACAATGTTTACTAATTTCTACTTTGATATTACCTGAATATCAACTATAACTTCTTTAAACTTAAAATTTGATTAATTTGCGCAGTATTTTAAATTTGTGTATTGTGGGTTGCCTATCACTTAACGCAACATTCACATTATTTGAAATTAAAGTTTTCTTTTCGTCTTTAGTTGTTACGGTTGTGCCGAGTCTGTTGATAGACTTACGGATTTACTAAAAATGCTAAATATGTGTATTTAATTACAACTCGCGACGCGATAGTGGTAAGTATTCGTGATTATTCGTGTTAAAAAACAAAACATCACCAAGAAGAACACGTCGTGCAATATTCGAATCCGCGACCAATCAGCGACGGCCACCAGTCTCGACACGCAGCCACCGAGCACGCGCACTTGTGCAATAGCCACACAACCGGCAATCGCAGGCAAACACCGCTCACCGGCTCGACATCCCGACACCGGCTCGTGAATCGTCAATCGTCATTCCGCAGCCACGTCTCCACCGAACAACCACACAGCGATGCTTAAGTTCTTCTGCTTCGTCGCCTTGCTGGCGGCAACCCGAGCCGGCGAGGCCGACGTTTTAGACCTCACAGATGCGGACTTCGATAGTCGACTAGCGCAGCATGACACCGCCTTGGTCATGTTCTACGCACCATGGTAAGAGAATAAGTCGATTCTTTACACTTTACACCATAATTGTTTCTAACATGACTTGATAAAAAAATCAACATGGCGCTTATATAGTATTACTTGTAAAGGTGCGGACATTGCAAACGATTGAAACCTGAATATGCCAAAGCTGCTGAAGATCTGGTGAGGAATGATCCACCGGTAGCACTCGTCAAGGTCGATTGCACAGAAGGCGGTAAGGAAACCTGTAACAAACACGGAGTTTCCGGATATCCAACGTTGAAGATCTTCCGCGGTGGCGAAGTCTCGCAGGAATACAGTGGGCCACGTGAAGCGCCTGGTATTGTTAAATATATGCGCGCGCAGGTTGGTCCCAGCTCCAAGGAGGTCGCCAGTGTTGCTGAGCTGGAGAAATTCCTTGCTGCTGAGAAAGATGTTGGCGTTGTGGGCTTCTTTGCTACAGAATCGGATCTCAAGGGGGCTTTCCTTAAACTTGCTGATAAACTGAGGGAAAAGGTCAGGTTTGCCCATTCTACAAACAAAGATGTCTTGAAGAAAGAAGGAGTTAGGTATGTGATAATATTCTAGTCATATTTCATGTATAAACTTATTTTTTGTGTGTTGTTTTAGTGATGGTATCGTTCTGTTCCGTCCTGCGCACTTGCACAACAAGTTCGAGGAAAACAACGTCAAATACGAGGGTGATGGTTCCGATCTGCGTGAATGGATCAACAAAAAATTAGTAAGTCAAGTAAAAATACTTTCTATAAAAACAGAATTTAAATTTTTAATCTTTCTAGTCATGGTATTGCCGGCCATCGTCGCAGCGACAACCGCGCTGAGTTTGTAAACCCGCTTGTCACTGCCTACTACGCCGTCGACTACGTCAAGAACATCAAAGGCAGCAATTACTGGCGTAACCGCATCTTGAAGGTCGCTAAACCCTACGCTGATCGCCTTAACTTTGCTGTTTCTTCCAAGGACGACTTCCAGCACGAACTCAACGAGTACGGCATTGATTTTGTCAAGAATGACAAACCAATCATTCTTGCACGCGACGCACAGAACCGTAAATTCGCCATGCGTGAAGAATTCACCCTGGAAGCCTTCGAAGCCTTCATTGAAGATCTCCTCGCTGAAAAACTTGAACCATACCTGAAATCCGAACCTATTCCAGAATCCAATGCAGAGCCTGTTAAGGTTGCTGTTGGTAAGAACTTCGATGATATTGTGGTGAATAACGGTAAGGATACACTTATTGAGTTCTACGCGCCATGGTGCGGGCATTGCAAGAAACTGGTTCCTGCCTACGATGAAGTTGCGACCAAGTTGTTGGATGAAGATGTCGCCATTGTCAAAATGGACGCCACTGCAAACGATGTGCCCGCACCGTTCGAAGTACGCGGTTTCCCCACGTTATATTGGGCACCACGTGACAGCAAGTCTGCGCCGGTGAAGTACGAAGGTGGTCGAGAAGCTGATGATTTCCTAGCTTATATTGCCAAGCACGCCACCGATGAGTTGAAGGGGTACGATCGTAAGGGCCAACCCAAACAACAGAAGACTGAATTGTAAATTCAACGGCGCTCGTGCGCGTAACAACTTTATTTAACTGTTGTTTCACATAATTGTTTGTAATTTGTGCGTCAGTTATTTCGGGGATGCGGAGTCATCTTTAATATATTCGGTAAACTTAGTTTCATTTACGTTTTAAACCGCAGTTGTAATTATTGTGATCACTGAGATATTTGAATTAAAGAAATCAATTTTATAACAAACCAAATGAAATTTGTGTTTGTTTATGCGCGTTATCTTTATAAATTTAACTCTTTTTGATAAGTTTAAGTTTATTTTGTTTTGCTACACTCTGTTTAGTAGTTTTTCAGCTGAAAACGGCGGCGCTAGTGTCGCACTGAAAGATACTTTCACGGCCGTGCCAGTTTTCAGCGAGTCTTTGGTTTGTTCATCTCGCGCCCTCGCTGAGTTCGCCCGCCCGGTGTGTCAGAAGTGTTTGTGGTGATGACGCCGCCGTCGAGCTGATGCAGGAGTTGGTGGCGAAGACGTACACGATGGCCGGCATATTCGCCGTGCTCGTGGCTCTCCTGCCCTGCGTCGCCGCCTTGGACCAAGGTATACCTAGAGCACTTTGTCTTCTGTCTGTCGCGTCCCGAGTTATTTATAGTTTTGTCTTCTCCGCCTCTAAGAATTACTACCAATCACCCTGCACCCTTTAAAACTTTAAATTGTTTCAGAAGGTTTAGTAGAAAATACACTTTCAGTATTTATTTTCTTTGCGCCTGAATACACAAGTTTTATGCAACCAATGTTACACATAAACAAAAACAATAACATTTAAATCTTAATATTTAATATTTCAGCATCATTTTATGGGAGCTCCAGCATCGCGATACCCCTCCGCGAAGCAAAGAGCGCCACTGATGTTCATTTTAGATTTAGAACAAGGGCTGCCAATGCTCTTATTCTGTTGGTGGCTGGACAAACTGACCATTGCATAGTGGCACTGGCTGATGGCAGACTTCGCGTGAATATGAATTTAGGCGCTGGGGAATCTGAGCTTTTATCAAATAGAGATAGAAGATTAGATGATGCTGAATGGCATGAAGTATTTATTGTAAGAAAAGAGGGTGATTTGTCATTATTAGTGGACAACAGTCATCAAAAAAGAACTCATCTTGCTGGGGATTTCTTTGAGTTGAACATCCATTATGGTCTTTTCCTTGGCGGCCAAGGAAATCGCACGGATTTGTTTTATGGACACATGGAGAATTTTCGGGGATGTTTATCAGAGGTAATAATTAATAATTATTACTTATTTATTTATAAAACAATTTTTAAATATTTTAGGTTATGTACAATGGAATGTTAGTCCTGGACCAAGCTCGTCGCCGCCAAGCCCAAGCAGTGGTCCACGGCGTGACATGGAATTGCGCCACTGAATTCGACGCCGACGGCGACACACCAATGAGTTTCATCGAAGATGGAGCGTTCATGACACTGCCTTTCCAATCATCAGCTCAGCACTCGCTTCGCCTTCAGCTAGAGTTTCGTACGATTTTACAACACTCAGTACTTGTATACAATAGCGGACCCGTTGCGAAACCAGATTTATTCGCGCTCGAGGTCTGGGACGCCAAACCACGTGTCACTTTTCGACATGGCGAGCACATCCATGAAATCATCCCTGAATTAAACGTCGCCAATGGCGAGTGGCATCGCGTTTTAGTTATTTTGACTTCCACTACGTTAGAATTAACTATTGATGACCGTACGCAACAAACTCGATTGCCACGTGGCGCGTTGATGGATTTCACTGATATATTCCACATTGGTGGTGTGGAAACACCCAGACGGGCGCGGGCAATGAGTAAAGGTCTACGCACAGCCGATGCTAGTTTTAAAGGATGTTTGAGAAATTTACAGATCGGGGAATCTTCAAAAGGTTTATCTGATGCTAGAGCCACCGAAGGTTTGTTACCAGGCTGTGTCTGGCGATACCCTTGCGATCAATCTAAATCACATTCTTGTTCAACGAACGCCACTAGCGACGCCAGTCGTGTGGTAGCTCACAGCGGACTTGCAACAGATTTGGAATTGTTGGCACTTACACCATTGGAAGCTTTTGAAGGACAATCTGTATTATTAACTCCTGAACATTTACACGTTGTGTTGGATTACCCTAAGTTCGGAGTGCGTGATGCAGGCGTTAAATTCACAGTGACCGAGGCGCCATCTCACGGCAGTTTGGCGATTGATATATGGCCGAAAGAAAGGGATGTGTTTACGCTTGCGGATGTCGCTCGCGATAAAGTGCATTACGTGCATGATGGATCAGAGACGTTGGAGGATACTGTTGGTCTACAGGTGGAATTTACAGCGAGTGATATGTATATTCTACCGGCATATCTGCAAGGAAAGTTTCGCTTCAAGTTGCACGTTTTAATTGCTCCGGTGAATGATCCGCCAGTGTTGAAAATCAACGCCAATACTGTGCTGCGAGTACCACAGGTGAGATAACGCACGTATTGCATGTAGTTTAATTGCATTACATTAACATCTGTTCATATGTCTAATATTTGCAAAGTTTAAACACTATTTAATCATTTTTTATGAATGTTATAGCATTGTGAGTTCAGTTTTTTGAGTTTTTTTGTTATGATTTAACAAAAAAGCATGTTTGGCATGAAAAACCCATAAAAGGTAAGGTACACTTTTTAGTTTAATAATTTCTAATCATTTTCTGTAAGAATTTTAAGCAATAAACGTAAATTTTAATCACAGGGCGCGAAGAAAACAATCGAGGCTGATTCACTCACTGCGCATGATCCGGACAGCGCATCATCACATCTGGTGTTTAGTATTCTGGACTCCGGCGCCGGCCATTTTGAACATAACCACAAACCTGGAGTTCCGATAATATCTTTCTCACATACTGAACTTGTACAACGTGATGTGGCTTATGTTCATAAACCAGGCGCTGCCAACGAATCACACGTTGTCCTGCAAGTTTCTGATGGTATCGAAACTAGTTCAGCTAGTCGAATAAGAGTCTCCGCCTTTCCTCAACATTGGAGGTTACAAAACAATACTGGCGTGGTGCTGGTGCATCTAACCTCAACTCTCATCACACCTTTTAATTTATCATTTGTTTCGAACGTGGCTAATTCAACAGAATCTGCACAATACGTGATTGAGCATGGTCCGCAATATGGCGTCGTAGAGGTGGAGAAAGATGTTGGCTCCTGGGAGAACACGGTGATTTTTACCAGTGAGGATCTAAGACAACATAGAGTCAGGTATAGGCATGTGACGTCAAGACCTGACGTGGACGAATTTCAGTTTAGAACTACGCTGAACAAAACGCAATTGTTTACATTCAGAATGTCATTTGCACGATGCAAACTTCTAAAGTTAAGCGAAGATCGCTTAAAACTAAATTCCAGTGTAGAAAATGTATTAAGTTTAGATTCGCTGAGGTATGAAACTGATCCTGTCAGATCTCCATCAGTAGCCATTTTGTATACTATAAAAGTACCGCCATCTTTCGGTTATATTTACGCTGCGGTATCTAAATACAGAATGAGAACTCACGATACTTTTAGTCAGGAAGACATTGCATCTCATCATGTGAGATACCACTTGCATAGAAAAGGTTATTCTGTGATCAAGGATCATATTGAGTTGATTGTGTCAGCTCCGGGGTGTCGCAACACAACAACAAATTTAAGTATTGAGTATACCCCGGATGATGAGAGTATTCGCTTTATGCGGAACAAAGTAGTTGTACTTAACCTCCAAGTAGAAGAAGGAGGAAGTACTTCTATATTCACAACCCATCTGGATATTAGAGGACATGTTGATCTAGTATTTAACATAACTTCCAAGCCAAAACATGGTGTTTTGAGGGTTTCGCCAGGTGGCAGCACCTCTGCGGGTAGTCTTAATCTCAGAAACAACACTGATTATTTTACGCTGCAGGAGCTGGCAGGTGATAGAGTTGCCTATCTACACGATGATTCTGAAACACGACATGACAGTTTTACTTTCATGGCGCTCTCTGCTGATGACGGAAAAGATGACTTTGAATATGTCGACACTGTTCATATTGACATTTCACTCAAAAACGACAACGCTCCCAAGAGATTGGTTGATAAAACGTTTGGTGTTGTAGTAGGTGGCGCTAGACTCTTAACCTCAGCAGACTTGGCTTACACTGATGCTGATCTAGACACAAAACCACAGGATATTATCTACACGTTTAAAGAGTTGCCTAATGGAGAGTTTCAAGACGCAAGAGGCCGAAACAAGATGGTGGAGTTTACCCAAGCGGATTTGGATGCAAAGAGGGTATTATTCCAACATCGGGGACCAGAGTACGGAAAGGTTAAGTTCTGGGTCACAGACGGGCCTTATTATGTTAGCGGAGTGTTGGAAGTTCAAGCATCCGCGCCGTTTGTCCGACCTGTGCTAAGTAAACGTTTAGTGGTGCAACACGGAAAGGTGGCCGTCTTGACATCGGAAAATTTGAACTACGCGACGAATTTGTACGCGAGTGATGACGACGTTGTGTATTCTGTTATTGGTAAACCTAATTTCGGCCATGTTGGATTTGTTACCAATGAAAAAGTAAGATATAACATATTTATTGGCACTCATAGACTAATAACAAAATGTTATTTAAGGTATTTAAAGAGTTTACGCAGAAAGAAGTGAAAGCAGGTCGGGTAATGTACAAAAACGACGTGACATCATCATCAGCAGATGAAATTAGGTTAAAAGTCAGCTGTCGGGATGCAACCAGCACTGCTCAAATTAGTGTGCTGATGTTACCTGCTAGTTACTGGGAGCCTCTGCATATTAAAACCCTTCGACAGTTGTCAGTTGAAGAATCTACTAGCGCTATTATTGGTAGGAATATTCTTGAGGTACGTACAACATTTTATTTTATTTTTATTCCACATCTTTAAAATAAAATATTGATTAGGTTATACAACCACAAGTACCACCAAGTGCGATTACATATCACCTCACTGTACAACCAGAAAACGGCTACGTGAGTATCCTTCCAACAGGCGGGACCGATGACCACTCGTCCCATGTGCGCTCCTTTACTCAAGCATCTCTGAACGACAATCGCGTCATCTATATCCAATCAGTAGCGAATGAAACACGCGATCGTCTTATTTTCAATATCACCAATGGAATGGTATGGCTACCCAACCTCATTCTAGACGTGCAGATTATACCAGAGAGGTTGTATCTTGGTAGCATTGTTTTGAGTGTCTCTGAAGGAGGTGCTGCTGTTATTACATCCACACATCTACACGTGGCAACAGAATATTATCGATCTCGTGTTACTGATTACGTTGTTTTGGAAGGACCTTCATTCGGGTGCGTGCAGATTCGAAAACGTTGTAGTAAACTTCACGGATTCTCACAAAAGGAATTAGCGGCGGGGTTAATACAATACGCACACGATGGTTCAGAGAATTTAAGAGACGCGCTGGTGCTGATTGCTGTGGCAGGTGAGAAGAGGAGTATCCCGGTTGTTTTGGATGTGCGGGTGTTGCCGATTAATGACGAGTCACCGAAATTGGTGAATAACACTGGTCTCACCATGTGGGAAGGAGGCGTTGCGTTGATTACCCACGAGGCGCTTGCAGCAGCTGATGCAGATCAACCTATGGAGACTTTGAAGTATCAAGTGATATCCAGTCGATGGGGGAATGTTTCTTTGCTGAATGAACCGCATACTTCGTTGAAATACTTCACACAGGAGTTGATTGATCGGAAAATGGTTGTGTTTAGGCATCAAAGTAAGTTTTTAAGAATTACAATAAATTAATCAATAATATAATAATTTATTTGTTTAAATAGATGGTACTGATGCAAAATTCACATTTAATGTGAGTGACGGTCTACATTCTACGCAAGAGTACATCTTTAATGTGCGCGCGCAACGTGTGGAGTTGCACATGCGCCATTTACGCCCGCTGCATATATTCCCTCTGCAGCGTAAGTTTTTAACAGCCGCGCATGTTTTAACGGATGTATCGGATCCCGATCGGGAGATGACATACGAGGTAACCACAGGACCCTCCTTGGGACGGCTTATGATGGAGAGTCCCACCACACCGGGAATATTTAATGTCGTGTCGAGGTTTACTCAGCATGACCTGAATAACAGCAGGGTATATTATGAGCATATTCATCCGTTTGCTGGATTGTACGCCAATGACAGCTTCGTATTTGATGTTAGGGCGTATCTCGCGGAACCCCTATTGAACAAAGTAAGATTATATAATGTAAATAAAATTGCTTATGTTAAAAGTATGCAACCATTTTTACAGCGAATGAAAATTGACATCTCAGTGTCTTCCGGTGGCCTGGACGCGTATGTCTCCATACCTAAAATTCAAGTGGATGAAGGTGGTGTAACTCAAATAGTTCTCAACTTTTCGGGAGTGGTATCTTTTCTGGAACAACACGCTGGAGTTGCCCGGCCTGTGATTCATGCATCAGTGGAACAACCGCAACATGGTTCGGTTTTCCTGCAACCCAACGAACACAATCAAACTACTTTCAGCGCGTCACAACTGGAATCAGGAGCTGTACACTATCAACATGACCATTCGGATTCTCTGGGTGACAACCTTTATTTTGCTCTCTACCTGCTACCAGGATATATTACATTATGCAACCTCACTGTACCGATCCGTGTGACGCCTATTAATGACCAACCCTTCCGGTTGGTAACACCGGCACCCAACTTAGTAGTTGTCAGAGGTGAGAACCACACCATTTCAAGAGCTGAACTGTGCACTGAAGATGCAGATACCTCACCTGCAGATCTCTTGTATGACATTATCTCAGGACCTGCTGAGGGTAGAGTTGTATTACTCCCCGCAGGTGTACCAGTTAATCACTTTTCACAGTCGGATGTAGATGCAGGTAAATTGGTTTACACCCATTTGGGAGGTGGGCTTACAGATGCTTTCCACCTGCGTGTGTGGGATGGTAAGTTTCGACCGGAGTACACTGTTTTCAGTGTGAGGGCTCTGGAAGTAAATCTGGAAGTCTCGGGAGGATTGCCAGTGTATATCCAACAAGGTATGAGTGTGGTGCTGTTGTCACCCAAACAGTTTTCTGTGAAAACCAATGCGGACCCAGCTAAAGTGATATATTCTGTAACCACACCACCTAGACATGGAGCTTTGTATGTAAAAGACACTGCTGCGACTGGTTTTGCGCAGAGTGACCTCGATGCTGATAGAGTTATGTATATGCAGCGGGATATGACCACTGCAAATGACAGCATGACGGTACGCGTCGCCATTTTGGGCATGAATACATCCAGCAGTATAGTTTCGGACCAATCAAAAGTACTTGCACAGTCTGTTCACGTGGATATCAGAGTACAACCATTAATGCAACTCGGTAACTGTACGGTACTAGCCGGGGAAGTAAACAGGTTGAGTTTGCATGTGTTGGATGCCACGCCACTTGCAAAACTAACAGGTGGTAACCCAAGGTACACCATCAATCGTCAGCCGCAATATGGTGAAGTACGGAAAATCATCAGGAGTTCCGGAGAGCGGAGAAATGTGTTGAATACACTTGTGACTGGTTTTACACATGAAGAGGTGCAAAGCGGATTGATTTACATTGCGGTGCGTGATATAGAAGTGGGATGGCGGGGTACACCGGATCGTTTGGGTTTTGTACTCGCCGCTCCGATTTTCCAACCAGCGGAAGGAGAGCTTAAACTTTTGGTGCGCTCACCGCTGCATAACGATGTGCATGCTACTCTACCCGGACCTAATGATCCGGCTGGACATGAAGGTGGCCTACATTTTGCAAGTCCCAATATGACACGTGATTACTTTTTGATTGTAAGCATGGTTGCTGGTGTGGTCATCCTAGGCGTGGCTGTAATCATCGTGATTAAATGTCGATCATTTGATCCGGAGGAGTTGGCGAAAGAGGCGGCGCTACAACAGCCCCTCCCCTTGCCACGACCACCAGATCGTTTAATGTCGGCGTCGCCACCATTAAAACATCAGGCGTCACCAACTGCGACTCTTGCTACGCCTCCACACTGTAAAGTGACACCTATCGACGCCACAACGAGGTACCCTTATGGTTCGGATGAACACTCCGCTGATGAATGGAGTTCTTGCGATGCTTCCGACCCATCGCATCCTGCGTCTGGTGGAGGCGGGCGGAATAACATTATGCTGCGGCGCAATCAGTACTGGGTCTAATTTCGCGCACCATTCACATGTTCCATAACTTCATAAAGCAAAAATCGAAAACTCGGACTATCTAACTTAAGACGTGCATTTTATACCGACTTAACAGTAATTATTAGGATAGGGTGGAGATCTCCGGTTGTGGTGTGTGTTTAGTTGCGCCATTATCATGAAAACTCATATTATACATAGTATATTTTCGGTCATCCCTATTACATCGCATTATTACGATTATGATGATTATTCGCGTAGAGCAACGAAATGTTCAAATGTTCAAGTTTTAAACTCAATGTGTAGATGACAAGATGGCAGCGGGGTCATGGGTGAAGTCATGCAAGAATCGCAACCATTGCCAAAGTTACTTAACCTCTAAGAGATGCATAAACAAAGAATGTTACTAGTTTTAAGGAAAAGCGTGTTTTTACGAAATGAACGAAAACCAATTTGATGTTAACTGAAAACCAACGTTTACATAACCTTGTTTGCCATTATTATATCATCGATAATCGTTACTCTTAATATTATGTATTTGTATACATTTTATATTTACTATTTACGTATTTTATATCTTTATGCGAGTTATGTTATCACGACTTTTTTATTATAGTATCAAATTAAAGGTTTATTCGAAACAAACTCTCTTTAATTACAGAGTAATAGAATTGATGAATACAATTGTTCAATTCGCAATTTTATGTACTATATTTTATTTACTTTGTCTTACATAGGTCATAAGTTATGTATTGAGAGTAGAACTGGTTGCCTAGCTTAAATTTGCGCATTTTTTTCATGAATCATTGTAAAAATCGATGATAATTCAATTAAACACGACCTAAATACGTTTTGCCTTATAATCCAATATGACGCAAGACAAAATAATGAAATTTGTTGAAACGAACTGGTATTGCATTCAGATGTTTTTGTTTTCTTGAAAACATTCACCAAATTATCGCATTATGGCTTCCTGTCACGCATTCCGCATGTAAAACGATCATTAAGTGATATTCAGAGGTCGGTGTGATAAGCAATGATATGAATACACAGTGAATGCCTACTACACAATGAAATTATAACTATTTGTATCGTCCGTCGTTGCGTATCTTATGAAATTTTTGATAATTACACAGTTGACGAGGAGTTGTAGACGAGAAGTGTAGTTCAATTTAGTGTATTTAATCGTAGTATATTGTCAATATGGCTATTATTCGAAGTGCAGGTATATACATTTTATACAATTTTTGTTGTTCTGTTTATATACTCATGTTTATGTACACGCTCTAACAATTTAAATGGGTAGAAGATCAGCGCTGCCAACCTACTAGTAAGTTTGTCGGTTTAGATTTTAAAATTCAATCGCTCTAGTTTTAGTTATTTTTTAGTTAGATTTAGTAAGTTATTTTTGTATCAATGAATATGGTTTGCATTGTTTTTTATTTTGTTGGCTTGTATTTTATTTAAAAAAACTTGCAAAAGTAGTTGTATAGTAAGAAAATGCCTGGTGGTGAAATTATCAACTAGAAACACGGCGCTGACAGCACTATTCTCGCGCGTCGTGGCTCGGACTCTGCTGTTTAAAAATTGTGGAGTAAATGTTGCTATATCAACAATAATAGAACCACCGGTATATTTTATTTTATACAATGGGTGATATAAACGGTAGTAGGTTTTCATTTTTGTGATTAATTCCGTAAAATGCGCGTTTTTGATCAACGGGTAAACGTTAGTCCGTCCCTGCATGGTGGCAATGCGCTTATAGAGGGGTACGCGCTATACTCAAAACGTGTGCCTGTGCGCCCGTGTGCCGACTCTTGTGCCGCGCTAGCCTCTCTACCCAGTCTACCGTGGCGGGATGTTACATCCATCTTGGATTTAGCACCTCGTTTCCTGGGCAGCGCAGCGCAGCGCCAGGCCGTGCACCGTGTTCCAGCAGCGAATGAGTGGTGAGTGGTCAGTAGAACGCACGCACGGCGTCAAGTAGAGGAGAGCCGCCCCGCAGCAGCAGACACGAGCCGCCGCCGCAAGCCGAAAACCGCACCGCCGCAGAAGGGCGCCGAGTGTGTGCGTGAGCTCCGCGAGCACGTCGGCATGAAAGAGGTACGCATACCACTTGCACACTAATCTCACGTTTGTTCCGCGCCGTCTTCTCCGGTTGAACACGCGCCCCCTCGAACGGCGAGGTGACGATGACGCGCTCGCGGTATGCTGGTGCGCTGTGCTAGATTCGCGAGTCTTTGCGCGCCCCAAGGTAATACCTTCTTGCAAGCAGTCTCATCATGAGCCACATGCATGCCTCACTCTCATGATGCATTGCAATGGATTATTTTACATCACTATTTATATTGTTATCTAGTATTTAGAGTTGGAACCCTGTAAGCATGTTTTACCTTGTGAGATCATGTTGCATGTTTTATGTCTGTATGTTTAGTGGTGCTTAGTTTGATTAATGATGGTTTTAACGTTGTAGTGAAATCCTATGAGCAAATAAGGATCGGCGTTCAAGGACTGGTGCGTGGGCCCTCGCTTGCTCGTTTGCGCTTCGCCGAGCTGGCGACGATGGCGGTACCGAGTCGGTCGCGCGTCTACACGGACGTTAACTCGCTGAAACCGCGAGAATACTGGGATTACGAGAGTTATGTGGTCGACTGGGGCCAGCAGGACAACTACCAGCTGGTGCGTAAGCTCGGCCGTGGTAAATACAGTGAGGTCTTCGAGGCGATCAACGTCACGAACAACGAGAAGTGCGTCGTGAAGATCCTCAAGCCAGTCAAGAAGAAGAAGATAAAGCGTGAGATAAAAATTCTGGAAAATCTGCGCGGCGGCACCAACATCATCACGCTGCAGGCCGTGGTGAAGGACCCAGTGTCGCGCACGCCGGCGCTCATCTTCGAGCACGTCAACAATACCGATTTCAAGCAGCTTTACCAGACGCTTACCGATTACGACATACGCTACTACCTGTTCGAGCTGCTGAAGGCGCTCGACTACTGCCACAGTCAGGGCATCATGCATCGCGACGTCAAGCCACACAATGTGATGATCGACCACGAGAATCGCAAGCTACGATTGATCGACTGGGGCTTGGCGGAGTTCTACCATCCGGGGCAGGAGTACAACGTGCGCGTCGCATCGCGATACTTCAAGGGGCCGGAGCTGCTCGTCGACTATCAGATGTACGACTACTCGCTGGACATGTGGTCGCTGGGATGCATGCTGGCGTCGATGATATTCCGCAAGGAGCCCTTCTTTCACGGCCACGACAATTACGACCAGCTGGTGCGCATCGCCAAAGTGCTAGGCACCGAGGAACTCTTCGAGTATCTCGAGAAGTATCACATTGAGCTGGACCCACGCTTTAATGACATCCTAGGAAGGTATGTTTATTACATCTTGATATTTTTTTAATTTTTAAATTATAATTTATTGTTTTAGGCATTCGCGTAAGAGATGGGAGCGATTCGTGCACAGCGAAAACCAGCATCTAGTGTCGGCGGAGGCGCTCGACTTTCTCGACAAGCTGCTGCGCTACGACCACCTCGAGCGGCTGACGGCGCGCGACGCCATGGAGCACTCGTACTTCTGTAAGTTGCCGCAGCGCACCGCGCAGAGTGTGCTCGCGCACGACATGAGCTAAGAGGAGGAAGCGCGGTCGCCATTTTGTACATAGGAGACACGCACGGCACGCCTCGCTTTGACTTTCATTTGTAGTTTAATGAAGAACACGAGACAGGGAGAAAGCGATCGAGCGAACGGGGATGATGATTACAATGATAATGGGACGGACGCAGTGGTAGAAGTTTCTAGCAGTAAGCCTAAGCAACCGCGCACGCGTCGCGGGTTCATTTAGTTATTTATCTTTGTTACTTTTTACTTGGAAATCATGATTCTGGAGGATAACTTTGTTTTGGTCGCCGAACCTAACCGCATGCAGCCGGCGTCGTCGGCGACGGAGGGGGGACCGTTGACGCCGAGCGTAATTTAAATTAAATTAAATTTAGTTGATAGGAAGACTTTCTTGGATATGATACAAAAACAATACATATGAGAACTAAACCGAAAACAACGTTGGAGCGTTTGCTGGATTTGTTTTGGTGCAGCGGGGAGGAAAAGTGAACGTTGCTGGGGGTGAATCACATTCATTTGCGCTACGATTCGCAGCTAACAGATATATTCTCACACATTGATGATAATGATGAGTTGATTCTGTTTTATCTATACTTCATTTTAAATCCTAAACTTGCGATTTTTTTCGTTTTCCGCTCGAGAGTATACCACCTTCGACCGTTTTGCGACACGGAGCGCATTTTTGTCATTAATTTTTATTTTGCAAATAAATCCATTATAGTTCGTTCACGCACACGTTGCGCATCGCACGCATTCGACTCTCATCGCCGCCGCTCCGCCTTCCTTCCACCGCTCCTGCTCGCCCCGTCGCCATCTTGCTGCGCCCACGCAAGTGTGCCTATATCTATCGCCATCTTGTGCTTTCTGTTCGCAGACCCCGTGGTTAAAGAGCAATGCCGGATGATAGCGAACGTGAATCCATCTCCTACTCCACTAGCAGGCGCAATGTCTGTTGTAGGAGTAGGTGAGTAGATGCCCATTTAGCCAGGTAAAAACCGATTGCACCGATGTTTCGCTTTTAAGACACACCCCCCACACACATGAATCCCAGAACAAGTGCCTCCCACACAAAGCGAACGTCCCACTTTCTATAGTTTGGTTCTTTCGTTTCCGACACGACGCCATCTTGTTGTAGTCAAAGCACCTACACTCACAAGATGGCAAGCTGTTTGCTTCAATTTGTTTGTTTGCTGCGCGCGGCGCATTGCATTGTGAGCTAGAGTGTGAAGCGTGGCGTCGGCCATCATGTTTTCCAGATGAGATGACGGCGTCGCCGCCGCTCGGCTCGCCTGCCGCCGATGAGTCGTCGCCGAAGCAGCTGGCCGCGATGCGTCGCACCTCGGCGTACCTCACCAACCTGGACTCGTCGACGACGCCTACGCCGACCTAAGGCGTGGTGGCGGCTCCGCCTCTCCCAGACTAAACAAACTCCCACATCCCGACAGTCACGCCCTCCATGACAAAGGGAGGACTAAATGAATTCTTTGGTTGCGAAACATCCTCGGTGTAAGATGCACGCGTCGCGTGGGTGTAAGCGTGAGCGTGCGCGCTGTAATTTTGTATATATTCAAAAGAAAACGAAGATACTGATGATGTTAGTCCAAATATTACACACATAACACTAATAACGATGAAAACTATAAGTAAATAATAAGTAACGCTAAGCAAACAAAACATTGTTTCAAGGTAAGATATACATATTATACATACAATATAAATACATATTAATAAGTACAAACGATTTGTTTCATGATTTATAGAAAATAGTTTCAATTTCCTGCCGAGGAAAAATCTCATCATCTATACAAATATGCAGTGTATGGTGGGTTGCCTACGTTAGTTGCAGATGTAGTCGACTCATATTTAAGCTGACAAAGTTAAGCGTTAACCACAAAATTTACAAAAACAAGTCAAAATAAGATCAGTGGTTTGTGTCTTTTGTTTGTACAAATTCACACAAAGCCGCATGAACTTTGCGCAGTTGATTGCCGTGTTTACTTATGATTAACGAACGAGTGTGCGGTTTGAAGCTCAACTGGGTTTAATTAGAATGTCTAGTGGTTCGTACATAAGAAACGGGTAGAAATTTCAAGTGCACTCGGTTGATAACGCGATCACACGATAAATACACGCCCCTTGCCGCGCAGTCACCGCGTTATAAAAGTAGGCGAAGAGTGGAAGTGCGGCGTACTTGTTTGCAACCCACCGCGGAACACACCCAGTAATTACACCAGTTGTCTAGCAACAAGTGATAAACGTGATAAGTGAGAACAGCTGTTAATTGGGCGACAATCATCAAGATGGCTAATAAAAACTTCACGTAAGTGTCAGTTTATTTTGCATTTTAAGGTTATGCGGGGAAAGTAAATACTACAAAACAAAGAAATGGAGTTTTATAGTCACAGTAATCACAATCAGACTATTTTGCAATATTTGGGAGTTATTTGTCTCATTATCATGACTCAATAACAATTAATTAAGGTTTACTTTTATTTTCTACAATAAACATTATTTACAAAGTCTACAAAGGATTATGTTGCTTTGGTTTCAATTCTAAGTCCATGAATCTTCTTAATTTGGTCTTTGAGTGTTTCTGTTATGGTTTTGTGTTGTTTGACTATTGACAGACCTTTAAACTCTGCTGAAGCAACATAAACATTGAACATGGCGCCACAGCCGCCTGAAACATCCTCGACTATAATTTCTTTGGCGTCTTGAAACCGTACTTGAAGTAGATCTTTGATATCCTTTTCTGTGACTACTTCACTTGTTGAATAGGAACAATTAGTATTACATGAAAGCTAAAAATTAAAAGAAAGTTAGTATACTGGATTTAAATAATATATTCATACTTACTAAAGGCAGCTTGGTTCGGAGGTTTCTATGCGTTATATTTGTTAATAATTTAAATAACTGCGACATTATGCAGACTTCTATATTGTTTCGCTTAAAAATGTGTAATAACCTTAAAGTTTGTACGTAGCCGACTTGAGACTTGAGATTTGACCTTCCGATGAAAGTTTAGATAGTTTGTCAGTAGATGGCGCTAGGGGTATTAGAATTTGCACGTTTTGCTTTGTGTTTACGTTGTTAAGTTATAAATGGTTACATAGATGTCGCGCGAGGTTGCATTTTACGCGTTGTTTATCTTTGACCATGTGATTTTTTATACATTGATATTTACTTTTACATTATATTGGAGCAATGTAACTGCAGCTTTATTAAAGAAATAGTAGATCTACGCTATGCGTAATACAAATCATTTGTTCATTGGAAATTTCCGATCGTATTACATGTACTGGTCGCTTACACAACAATTAAGTTAAATTTCGTGGAAATTTTCGAGCTGTACGAACGTTACGAACAAACATGGACATGTTTATATCCGCCCGGCTTATATTATCGTATGGCTTATTAGTCACGATTGTTATTTATAGCCTTCGATATACAAACATGGCTGTGTTTTTGGTGTCTAATTTTTTTGCATTTAATCTGCAAATATACAGAAATTAACTGCCATGTGACATCAAGATGTGGAAATGTTAATTCAGTGAATAATATAAACAGGAAATGTGTAATTTATGGCAGTCGCAAGTCATAATGTTGTGTTGTGTTATGCGGGAGACCGGCATCGCCATCTTGTCCCCCGCCTCTTGTCTGCCCGGCCAGCGTGTCTGTCTGTCGGGCGCATTCCGTTGTTTACATGCTGCGCCGTCATAATAATAATCGGGGGCATCCGCTTCGATCGCGGAAACAACGTCATCGAACGCGATTCACAACACACAAGAACCGCGGCGCGGTGCGAATAAAATTCTGCGATACTCTCGTGGGCTGGGATGTTGTGAAAGCGCAACCTGAATCGATTCACACAGCATTCACAGGTCGTCTACGTAACTCGCGTAAACGACCGACAATGCACGAACTTGCAAATCAAAACAATCCGGCGTGTATGTTTTGTTTTGGCTTGGAATGTTGAGTGAGTCAGAGTGAGTTAGATATATCGAATAGCATTAACGTGAGAACGAAATAGAGTGAAATATTATAGTGGGGGTTTGTTGGTGTATGACTCGGCGAGCGGCCGTGGGACGCTGTGCCGTTTTACGCGGCGCAGGTTGTCTCGCACAGGCAGTTACTTTCAGACAGGCGTTGAGTGCGCATGTACAACGAGTGTGAACGTGAACAGTTGCATCAGTTTGGATATAAACAGAACCACTCACACCAACTCATACACACACGAGCGTAACGCCTGCGAGAGTGTGAAACCAGCCAAACATTGCATTGGATATCGGATAATCCGAACGCGGTGCGCATGTGCGCCATCTTGTAATACACAAACCAAAACAACACAATCAAAACATAAACATCACGAGTGTTACGTGACTGTTTTTTTCTGGTGATGCCGTCTGCGAACACCCGCACAGTGGTGGCGGCTGCCACCGTCACCACGCCTGCCCCCGTAGCCGACTACCGCCACCTGCATCGCGATGTCGAGGGTCTCGTGTTGGAAATAAAAGAAAATTTGCGTATCTCATCCACCTGTGCCGTTGGCGCTCTGAAAGCGCTTCCGGCATACCGCCGCTACCCGAAGAAATACCTACGCAACTCACCTTATGCTGCGCGTTCCGCCGATGAACAAACAGCATGCGCGCGCCGCCTCCTTCGTCACAAGCAAGAGGCGGCCGATGACGGCTGCGAGGATCCCTACGAGTTGCTACAGCGACTGCTCAAGGACGGCGGGCTTGTGAGCGAAGCCGTGCGGCGTGTGCAGCTTGCTGCCGCGGCTGCCACTTTCGCCACCGCCACCGTTAAGACAGACTACTGCTACTACGACTCTGAAGAGGAGTGCTCCAGTCCAATGCTGCGGCTATGCGATTAGGCAAAAGTTCTGCATAACATTTATTGTTCCTTTGACGCGAGACGGACTGACAGAGAGAAGAGTGGATATGTGAATGTGTGAGTGCGCACGAGATGGAAATAGCACTGAGACTATAATGAGGCACTCATATACAGAGTGTCCCAATTTTAATATGTGCGAAAGAAAACTTTGTCGGGTGGCACTCGTGACATATCGTAGTTTTAAGTAGCTAAAAAGATTTGAGAAAAGGTTACGCTTAGATGGCGTCGCGAGCGCGCAACAATGAATACGCTTAAGTACCTTAACTACGTTGTCGTTATTTTGTTTTAATATTTTTGTTTTTTATTATTTTCATCTGTTTTAATTTATGTTCCATTAAATTCGAAAGAAGAAAGAAAGAAACTCGCGACGACGACAGCGCAATCAGTTCTACTCCGTATCTGTGATTGTAAAACTAAACACTAAACTAATATTAGTAACGCTAAGCTGTAATAATTTAATATTAAACAAATGAAAATCGAAGCTGAGAGGAGGAAAATGGCCGACAATGACAGTCGTGCAGGAGTAAACTCGAATTCGGACTCTTGTATATCAAATAAGCGTCAAGCGATTGTAAATGTTTGTCATAATTGTCATAAACGTGAACAATATTTATTTTAAACTAATAGAAACGTTTATTGGACTATGTGGGACATTTATAATAATTGACACCTGTCAATGTCACAATGTCAAAGTATGACGTTGTGGTGGCTCAAGTCGTATGCATTATACAGGGTCGACACTGAAGAAGGGAGGCAGTTGGGGAATAAAATTGTATATTTCTAGAGTTGTAAAGCGTTAATTTTGTGATATTTGTAAAGCAGAGGTTTTGATTTTTGTGATTATTTACGTTTTGGTTTGTTTGGCGAATCGCTATGGCGTGTCGACAGTACATGAAAATAGAAAAAAAACGCATGGAAGGAATTAAACATTTTAATTTCTTTTACTAAAAAATATTTGATGATTTTTCGAGACAAAAAATATAAATCATTATTTTGATGAAAACAAACACACGTTTTATTTATTCAAAGCTTACTATTTAAGGTTATGCAATACTTTTACCTCTGCGTGCACCTAAACATGTGTACGCATGCGCAGATTTACACCGTTTATCGACCAAGTGCGTTCGCGGTAGTTTCATGCGTTAATTCGCTTGTGTCGGTATCGGTACGCGTGCGCCGTGTGTATATGCACGGTGTTTTGCACTTGTGTGTTTACAAAACATTTCCACGTGGCCGCGAATACTACGACTGAACGAATTGCGAGTACTACTACGCCACACTACGTGATCGCACCGCTTCGGTCGTAATATTGCGTCGCAAAACTCGCCGCGGCGCGTTTTTTTTACGACGCAGGCATCCTTTTCAACTTGAATTCGAAACTTTTATTACAAGTTTAAATCATTCGCTCTCCATCGCGCACGTTGAACAGCACGCAAACACTTTTGTTTGCAAACACGCCACGTGTACTATTATTGCAATAGTTTACAACAATCGATATTCATAACAATTAGACACTCTAAAGTAAACATACACAGAACATACTAATGCAACACACGTGGCACGTTATTTTTAAAATAATTATTTTTAGTTATTAATTTTTGCAATATTTTTTAATCTTGAGCTAAATTTATGTGAATTTTCATTACTTTTATGTGCTTGATATGTGATTGATGTTGACGGTTGCATGTTTATCAAATTTATCACCAGATAAGCGCGATATTTTTGTTTTATTTTTGGCTGCAATATGGCTGCGTTGAATGCGAATCCGTTTCGCGCTTGTTTTGCACTTGACATTGATAGCATGTATCGAAAGTGTTTAATAACAAGCTTACAATGTATTTTCTGCAACAAATTGGCCGAGATAATCACTAGATTGGTGTGTTATCGTTATTATTTTGTTTACTGTGCAGTAATTGCTGTGTTTTGCATATGGCGCCATCTTGAATTACTTAATTTACATTTTTTGTTGTGTTTTTGAAGTCGATGAATCTTTCGTTGTTGATGGAATCGTTTGTCAAGTTCAAAGGCATGCCTTGAACCTCGCCGAAGCGCAGCCATCGTCATGCGCCGACGAGCACCACCTTGCCTTCGTCGGATTTACATTTTATTACGATTTTACTACAAGTTTTGTTTGTTAATTGAACGAAAAGCCGCCGAAAACAAAAAGACAACGTTGCAATACAGATGGTGTAACTAGAGAAAGATTTATCGTTTTTATAGTTTATTAATTTCATTCGATTGTGTGTTTATTAGTTGATTTGCCCCAACATTCAATTAACCTATAAATCGTGAACTAGTATTTTGACAGACAAGGTTATGTGACACGCACGCACATTGTGCAGCGCGCTTATAAACGATGTTGGAAATGATTAATAAATGACGCCGACGTGATTTGCGAAGACCATGTGTCTTGGGATATTGCGC